CCCCCCCCCCCCCCCCTCCCCCCTTCTCCCACCCCCCCGGCTAAGGCCAAAGTGCTCCCAAAGGCGAGTTTTAGTCCGGAGCAAAAAAAAAAAAAAAAAAGAGCAAAAGAGCTGGGGAGACCGAACAGAGACAGAGGCAGTGAAATCACAGCATTTGCTGGCTCTCCCCAGACACAGATATTCTCTACGTTCTTCCCGGCACTCCTGCTTCAGGGATTTTGCATGGGGAAGAGAAGGAGGCGATGGATCCCCAAGGGACTGGGGGTGGTCTTTCTGTTTCTGGAAAGAAGTCGCAGTAGAGGTTTTAGACGTGGGCTTCAAGTCAGAATCACACCAAGGCCTGGTTTTTAACCCTCTCCTGATGCTTTCTAGGGTGAGACAGACTTCTGAACCCACCCCTCACTGGGTGTTCTTGAGGGTGGGGTTCCAGGATGTGGTTTCTATGGCATCCATGTGTTCTCAGGCAGCCTTGTGCCATAAAGAAGGCTTCTCTTCTCCCCCCACCCCCTTTCTGTCCCCCACGTCTCAGGAATGGGAGACAGGAGTATGGGTGGCTAGGAAGATGGAACATCTAGCTTGTAGGAAGCTGCAAGGGAGTTGTAGCAAATATGTTTGCCGGGGGTGGGAGTTGTCTGACCCCCCCCACACACACACACATCAGAGCTATCACTGGAAACCTGGAGGGCCTTGTCAGCTATGGAAAATGCAGGTTGGCTAGCCTGGTTGGTTGATTCACTAGAAGATTGGGGCGTGGCTTAGTTTTCCCTGTGGCAAGAAGTGTAGTTTAGTGTGGGTACAGGGCGTTGAGGCACCTAAGTTATCTCTCCATTGGGGTTGGGAAGGTGGAGTGCAAAGACAGGAACTGAGAATCAGGACTTCCAGCATTTTGAACAGCTTATCTCTATTGTTGATTCACTGAATGACCTTGTATGCCTATGTTGTGAATTTAAAAGAAACGGAGGGAGGGGGGACTCTTGCTGCTTTAAAAAAAATTCCTCTGTGTCCTCTCCATAGCCAGAAGCAGGAGCTGAAGGTTCAACAATCAATGAATGGGCACATTAAAGTCACTGTAATAAAGAGGTTGGGCAGAAACCTGACAAGGAGGAAGCAGGCCAAATTTGGATTATTAATTGTGTTTGTCCATATTTGGGATGGGTATGGGTAACCAGTTGAAGGATTTCTAGCTGTTTTACTCTTCTTGTGCTTCCCTGCCAGCCTGTGTTCAAACCTGGGTCACATTTTCTCATTCTGATTTATTGGACGATGGAAATATATACAAGCAGGGAGGCTGAACCTGTAGGATGGTAGAAGAGTGATATAGGCCAGGAAGGTTTTGTGTTATATGCTGTTTATGAACACACACATTGGCTTGTTCTAAAAGCCCACTTAAGGACAAATCACCAGGCACCATTTAGATTCAAAGTAAAGTTGCTATCACTTCTGTAGGGGTGTGTATACGTATGTACATTTCTCACTTTTGCTACCACATGCATCCAGATTACATGTGTGTGTTGCATTTGTAAGTTTAAAAATGCCTTTATTATATTGCTGTATTTCTAGAGTGTTCTTGAGTGAATTTACTTGGGGGCTAAAATTTGGTTTCATGGATTTGGTGCAGTGTGTAAGTGCCTGTTTCCTAGTAATTACATTGCCATCAGTAATGAGGAGGAAATTCACCTTTGTATGTACTGGTGAATAGGTGTAACTGTGGTAGTAGATGTGCAATCCCATTTAGACATTTCAATATTGAATTTGTATGACAGCAATCATACCGGTGTGCATACCCAGATATAAATAGTGAGTGTTTGATCAAGTGTCACAATGGTAGGTAGACTGATGCACGTCTGGAAGTTAGTCTGATGGTATCCGTGCATAGTGGTGACTTGGATTTACAACAGGAGGGCACAGTCTGTGGGATGGAGGGTTGCAAGCGCTGCCCAGCATGTCAAGTGCAGCACTCCAAATGGGCAGGGCCAGGATCCACTGGGAGAGTGTCTCTGAAGGAGTCTCTGCAAAACTTGAAGGACCAATTTTGCCCCTTCACTCTTCCTCCCCAAATTACCCCCCCCCAAAAAAAAAAAAAAACCCACCAAAAAAGGGCCACATGTGGCAGCTTCAATATGGAAAGCTGGTGGGTTGCAGGCAGACAGCTCCTTGGCTGCACCGTTTGCACCACTGAGGTACAGTATACAGATTTTACTTCAGCTGAAAAACTTCAACTTCTCCATCGCAAAGGTGCTATGTAGAAATAAATTTCATTAAAATCAATGGATTCTGGGCACAGTCTGACTTCAGAGCCAGATGTAGTCCGCAGAAGCTTCTAGCTGCAATCCCCAGAGCCCTTACAAAATTTGTGACCAAATTGCAGTTGTAATTTGTTACAGAAGTGGAAATTATCAAGTACCTGGGGAGTAATCCCATTAACTGTTTTGAATTTACATTGAGTTAAATTGGAATTAAATCCATTCTTGTTTTTGTCCTAATTCCAATCCTTTTTTTCATGTTGGCTCCATTTACTTTTTTGGAGTAAAGCGCCTGGCATGCCATTTCAAATGCCAGCTGTGGCCCTGGGTTCAAAAAGAGAGAAAAGCGTGTTCAGGATTGTAATGTTAGCCAATGGGTGTGTGCTGGCTTAGGCACAAGAACTGTTTAAGAAAGCTCTGGGTTTCATCCAGTGTTTCTCTGAATCAGCCCTCATTTTGGGGTTCTTTCTGTTCTGAATCAATGGCCACATTTGTGTGAACAATATTGCTCTTAAGATGTACATGTTGATTGTAGAATCTCCCTTGATTTGGAATAAGATGAAAACATGGCTCTTGGATTATGATAAGTCATTTTAACTACAGGTTAAAAGGTTCACACATTGCCTTGTTTACTACCTGAATGCAAGTGACAGAAATAATGCCATTGTATGCATAGGAGGAGAACTCAGTGTACATACGAACGGCAATGATCATTTGTGGAATGGGGTTAATACGAACTTGGTGGATATGTTTCTCTCATTACTCTGTTGTGGAAATTATACATTCAGCTTGCTTTGCAGTGGATCTGCTGTGTCTGGCATCAGCATCAACTTGAGTCTCTTAAGACCATGCTGAGTTCACTCATTGTTCTTAACCATGGCTTGCTTTAACCATGAGTTGTTGAACAATCCATTCACTCACAACTTTAAAACTAAACAAACTACACAATGCCTTAGTGCTAGGTACAGATTCAGCCTCCTGTATATAAAACTATCTTCTCAGTAAAGCAGATGGTACAGCTTGGGGAAAACTGTATCCATCTGTAGTTAAGAGGAAACTTGGTTATTCCTTTGTCCAAGTTTACCTCTGTAGGCAAACAATGGATTGGTATATAGATCTCTGGGTGGTCTGGAATAAAAGCACAAGGTTTATCTAATGGCAGTAGCAAAATTACCTACTCTGGCTGTATGAATAGGCTCTGAGATCAAATTTGTACTAAAAATTCTTGGTTCATAGTTTAATTATTGAGGTATGTCTTTTTATACCATCTGCTTATGAGAGGACCTCAGGGCTTTATTAAAGTTAAATAAATAAAGTGTAACTTCTTCAGATCTGAAGACCTGAAACAAGTGGTTCTTCCCTGCCCCATTATATCCTTATTAAGCTGATAGCCCCTCAATTCTGTTCTCAACTTTCCCATTTTCTTACAATGGTCCTTTTTCCCCACTTGTTGGAACAGCCATGTGATATTTTTGAGACTTTTCCCTCTTGACTCCTACTTTTTGGAATTCTCCCCTCAAATGACATACTGTATAGAGTCCAATCGAATCAATTTTTAAAAGGCCCTTAACTGCATCTTTTTTCAGATCATTTATGAAACTTGGAGAATGATTTTTTTTGGCTGCAGCATCCATTACCTGTAAATATTACGGCAGTGCTGGGGTTAGATAATTATTGTTAAATTCATGCATTTATTTTTGTGTGCTCATTTTATTGTTGTATGCTTGTACTATGCTTAGATATAGATATTTGTTTGCTATCAAACAAAGTACTACTACTGGGCAAGCTAGATTGAAAGATAGTGACTTTCATGAGCATCATGGCTGAGTAAGGATGTACATATATTTTGCATGTTGAATATTAATCAGTTTTCAAGCCTTGCCTTCCATTTATTTGTGAACTGGTCTGGTCACTTTCTGTTGTTCCCCAAGCACTGCATTTATTTCTTCATCTTATATATGTATTCTTCACCTTATTGCTAAGATTTTTTTTTTAATTTAATGTTATAAATGGCCATGCAAAAAATCTATACCAAAGGTAGAATTTTTGGAGGGGGCACATGGTGAGTGCCATTAAGTAAGTAAAGCATTGAGCTTAGAATCCTTGGTTAAAATCTCACCTCTGTCTGACC